TCGTGGATGATATATGTGACAACGTGTCAATACTGAAAATAAGCGACCCAAGCAGAAAATGGTGCCTGGACAGTGGTGCAACAAATCGCGGTATTTCGATGAAAGAGACGCGACTGTGACCACCGGTGGCGAAGGCAAAGTGCGTTTTACCGTGCACACAATTGGTTCCAAGAAAGAAGTCACTTTACAAAACGCGTTTTTTGTTCCAAACTTGAGAACTAATCTCTTATCTGTTATAAAATTACAGATCGCGCACTAGAGGTTCATTTTCAGAAAAATGGGCAAACTGCAAACGGCTGATTGAGCCCAGATTCGACGACTTGTCCGTTTCAGAAGAAAGGAAGATATCGCTCGAGACTTTACACAACCTCTGGGTCACGCTAACGTACGAGATATCCAGGACAATCTTCGCAAAGGTATCGTAAAAGGAGCTAAAGTGATGCCTATCCGGTTTAAGAGTTTTTGGTAGTAAAGTATACTACCTTGATCGAACTCCTAACAAGGACAGTTCGATCCTCGCGGATTAAAAGGAATTTTCCTCGGTTATGTCGAACAATCAAAAGTATACCGCATTTGGGCTCCAGAGAAACGTCAAGAAGTTCCAGGAGGACTAACTCCCGGTTTCGATACCCAGATACTCCAAATCTACCAGAGAGATGATGAAGACAACTCTGAGTACCAGGAACTCGACGACCATGTTATTCCAGAGGAGAATGACGAAGTGGAACAAGTGCATCGTTCGGAAATTTCCATGAAACAAGCGGGCCTGACGTCGATGAGATGACTTCAATTCTCGGAAAAGAGATCTGGGTGATGGTCGACCGCCCTGAAAATATTCGCATCGGTATATTAACCCTTGAAAGTCTCTCCAGGGAGATTCGCTCTCATAAATTCTACTCCGGAACATTCGTCTTGGCAATCACTCAGCTCAGAAAGTTAACAAACTATTGTAGAGAAATTTAGGACAAGAAATTTCGCGTCCGGAAAATTTCCCCCATGTATCAAATCGTTTCAACAGGCTCGTCCCTGGTTTCCTCTTTCGCCATAAAAATTCAAACTTTTCTCAAGGAAAATTCACATTCCGCCATTGATATAAGTTACCAAAACCAATAAGCAATAGTGAAAAGGTTTTTTTTGTTTTCAAGTTAAATCAATCGAAATTGTGATAGTTTAGGTTTACATTGCCACACGTTAAATTTGACTGTTTGCTACTGTTTTCATTATTTTGTCACGTTTTGCTACATTAGCAATAAGAAAATCCATTATTTCCATAACGAACAATTCACAGGTCAACAAAAAAATATTTTTTTTTTGCGCATGGGATTTACATAATATATTCTGACTATAATAAGCAAAAATAAATAAAAAGTGCAATTAGACATCGAAAATATTGGCTTTTACAAAAGTTATAGCGATTTGATTGAAAGCTTTCAGGGGCGAAAATTAAAGCTGGAATTTTTGTTTTCCCTCAAATAAAAAGAAAAATGGAGGGTGATATTTTCCCGCGGTTACTTAGCAAAGAGGGAAAGAAATCCTGGAACAGTTTTAAGGCGATAGTCCATGTTTTCCCGTTCAGTATTTCCTGGGAAACCATCGAACTGAAAATTATGACGAGCTGACAGGTTTTGGTGTTGCATCATCGCGGGTATAGAATGTCTCTTAAGATGCACAGGTTACATTTTCATTTAGATTAATTTAAGGATAATATGGGAGCTTATTCGGAATAACAAGGACAACCCTTTCATCAAGACNAAATACTGCTTCCATAAAAGTATTTAATTACAAAGTATTTGAATACTTTAAAGGATTTGAATACTAAAAGTATTTACAAAATCGAATACTGCTCAGCTCTGCTGCCAGGGTTTTTGTCCGGAAGGTTTCCCTGACATCGCCTGATGTGAGTAATATATTTTATAGGTTCTCGTCTTTCCTTACGCAGAAACTTATGAGTTTTTATCCTATTTCTTTTCCCCTTTGTGCATAAAAAGAACCGCCAGTTTTAACTCCGACTGCTACCCAGATTTGAAAGGACCGCGAAACCTCCGTCGTTTTGTCATGAAAGTAACGGTGGCTCATCTCGTGCGTATGAGGTAAGTCAAGATTGAAGTCGCCTCTCGACTGCAGCTGCTAAGTATTGCGGGCGTTGTTATTACGAAAAAAACAATTAAAATGATTTATTTATGCCATTTTTCTTTTACGTCTAAATAATAATGTCCATCTTGTTGGAAAGACATTTTGTTAGTAATTGAGCAATAGAAGTCGTTGATCCACCCACAAAAGCAGCACTGTCTGTATGACTACCTACTAACGTATTCTTTTCCATTGATTGCATGATGCTATGTAAACATACTTAGTTATGATACGCCGATGACGTACGTGTACACTAAGGGAAATCCTACTATATCTATAAATTCAATGACTGAATGAGTCTAGAATCTCAGCTTGATCTCGTGAATCTCTCTGTTTTCGTGATATCCAGAAACCAATGTGCCGTTCCCCACTAAAAAAAAAACAAATAGCGTGCAGATGGTGGTGCTTCCTGGTGATCCAAAACCCTATTAAGCGAGAACAGAATCAATAGTTCCTCTCCCTCGCTCTATGACCATATCCGGCCAACTCTTGCTCCAGATGTACCGTATCTCGGTATCTGTGAAATTAATGGTAAAGTATTATTTTTTCTGAACACTTCTTGTACGGTTGAGGATGGCTGTTTTTAGTTACAACATGTAATTGGTGGTGAAGGTATTTTTTATTATTCATCTTCTTCCCCCCAAATCATATTAAATATTGATCCCAGCGAAAAAGTGTAAGGTTCTTTTATGTGGAAAGTAAGAACATTTTTTTTACTATGGACCGCCGTTTACGAGTTATTTACGAAAAACTGAAAATCCATCATTACTTTTAGTATGTTGCGTTTAAGATACCTCCTGTTTACGTACAACTATTAACTATTCACTTTTACAAGGATTATTTCCCCTATTTGGCAGTTTTTAGGTGTACTATTCACCATTTACTATTCACACTATTCAATAAACGATTTTCGGAAAATGCACCACGGAAACGTTCGCAGTAGGTAAGTTGGCCTCAGAGAATTCGCTAGAGGAATCTTCGCCACGCGAATAAATCGCCCCCCAACACGCCCCCGAAAAGCGCACCCGGTATATTCTCTCCTGACCTTGTCAGTTTGACTTTAAACTCAACCTTCACAGAACTTGTCCCAAAGTAAATATTTACCAGGAATATTCGCCCACAGAAACGAAAAGAAAATTTGCCCCTGCCCGAGTATTTACTTCCAAGAAAATTTTCACCAAGGATATTCATGTTCATGAATAGTTGACTTTTAGAAAACTACCGTCAAAGAGACTGGCCGTTGGAATAATTAATAAATTCTGAATACCACCGTAAATGCCATTTAAAGCACGTCAAAGACGATATGGTGCAATAACGTATTCCTTCTTGGCCCTCGGGTTGATTGTACCTATAGGCCATGATGCAGCACAACTTTAAAAGTGTAGAAGGAGGTAGAAGGTGCCTCAATAAAATTCATTCGGCAAATTGTTCCTCGCTTTCGTAATAGTTACTAAAATCGTCATTTTAAGATAAAAAGGGATTTTTAAGACCAGCCACTTTAAATGACTTTTAAAATATGGTCACTTGAGCTTAGAAAGTGCACTAAACAGTGCTCCACATCCCATAATATTATAATCGCGGACATATCTACCTTGCGATAGTTGTCAAACAATAACAACTCGGAACTCAAATTGTCAGAAATAAGAACAGATTTTTCAAAAGAAATAATTTCCGACAGAGTTGCTCAATGGCGGGAACCAAATTTGGTAACAATACTCATCAATAAATGCAATACTAAAAATATTGGGACCCCATAAACCATATTTTTATATTATTGAACCGGAACAGCCAAGAAAAACAGTTTAAAATCAAAAAGAAGCGCCACGTGCTCATTACTTAAGTGAAGCAACCGAGGCAAATTTAATGAGATTTATAAATTGATCCTGAATGTCTAATTAGCCGCTTAATTAGCAAATTAAGAAATGTGCGAATACACCACTTAACCCAAATTTGTGTCACCTTAAAGGGGACAATTATAAAACATTCCGATTTCTAGTAATTGCGTACTTTAGATTTAATTTCGATTAATTGGAAATAATTTCCGTGCGCAATCGACTTCCTCTTGAAAATTAGATGAGTACGCCACTATTAGCCTCTAATTGGTTGAAAATGTCTACAATTAAAGTGGTAAGTGTGTTACGCAAGGATTTGGATCGATCTAATATCTGAGGCGCATTTACAAAAAGTAACGGTAATAGCGCGATGAATTAAAGTTATTTCTGTTACACATGAAGGCGGGGTGGGTGTTAGCACTTTCACTCAGCGGTAGCCAAAGCTACCGAAGGACAATTCTTTTCTAAAACAATCTCAACCTCATATTAACTTTTATTTTTTTGTACAACATTCTAAATGCATCTTAAGTTAAGTACATATTTAATACATTGTTAAAAGTAACCTATTTTTTAATATGCGGACAACTAAAATTACACTTAAGACTAATATCAAACATTTGTACAAATGGTATCAAAAGAAAAGCTTTGGTTTTGTGCAATAATTAATCTATACAAAACAAAAAAAAATCGCCTAATACTAATTTCGGGTTAGTTATTGCACCCCTTATGTACAAAACAAGAAATACTATTTAAAGTGAAGTATAGCACGCTAATATTTACAGTAAAAGTTATTTACACAAAAGCTAGAATTTTCGATTAAAATCTCAAAAATGTGCTTAAAACTTTAGGAAGTTAAGTGCATATTATAAATTCTTTAAAAACGAGAGAAGTGTAGGAACTATTTAAATGAAAGTATACGTAAGGATTTTTAAGTATATGCGATTAGGTAAAAGGAGTGTTTTTGAGCAATTTATAAATGGTTTTGTGCAAATTCCATTCGTGTATCAATATTTCAAAAATTGTTACACAGATGGAAAATCCTTACAATGCTAGTACCACTAATACTAAGTAGGTATTTCTAACGCCTGATCGTTATTGTTCAGAATTTCGTCCTTTTCCTGTTTAACAATACCCATATCCACTTTCTTGGGGTAGTCGTCGACCGGTGAAGTGCCGTCCGAGTAACTCTCAGAGTCGTCCTCCTCTTTGCTGACAACGTCGATGTTGGAATGGTTATGCGAGGGGTTGTACAACTGCGCCTGGTTGAAGTTCGATCCCGAATAGGTCACCTTGCCCATGAAGTTGCGTATTTCGTCAAAGTACGCGTCCTCCCTCTCATTTTCGTTGCTACTACCAGGGGAATCGGCGATTACGGTGCCGCCGTTACCGTCGTCCTGCTCGTGTTTCTTCAAATGCCGGTCCAAGTTCGTTTGCTGTCCAAAGCACCTCTCGCACAACGGGCACTTAAACGGCTTCTCTTTATTGTGTATATTACGAACGTGACGTTGAAGATTACTCGAAATGCTGAAGGATCGCTCGCAGTATCTACACTTGTACGGTTGCTCGCCGGTATGCGTGCGCAAATGTCGTGTAAGATTAGCGGAGCGAGGGAAAACTTTTCCGCAAAATTTACACGCGTACCGGTCCTTCATTTTGCTCTGCGTTTGCTGTTGGATCACGTCGTGGTAAGGCTTTACCGCGCCGAAATTTTGCAAGTTTGGTCTTAACAAATCGAAATTTCTAGCATGTTGAAGTGGATTGATGAAGGGAAAATGTCGCGGTCCAAAGGGATGCGGTAAAAGTCGATCGTTGTTTTGCGGACCTTGAAGGGGGTGGAAATTCGGCCTGTACATCTCCAGTATCAGTGGATGAATTGGTCGCGGGTACGAGATTTGCGGCACGCCTTTGTAGGGATCCACCGGTTTATGGCTGTCGTCAACGTCGACAACCTCAATCTTATCTTCTTCCTTCGCCTTCTTTATTGGTGTCAGGATTTGATCGCGCCGCACGGGTTCGTCGATGTCCACTGTAATTATTGGGGACAGTTTTCTGTTGACGCTTAAATCTAGAGGTTGATCTCCCTCTTCGCTACTCAACGATTTTGATCTACTATGGCATCTTTCTTCGTTGATCTTAGTTAGGTCACGAGGGGCGTCGCTAAACTCGTCGTACCCGTTTGATTTCGCGATTTGGTCCCGAGGGTTACTAAACATCATATTACCGGAGCCGGGCTGCGGCCTGGCCGGCGAGGGCATTAAAGTTGAGCAGGCTTCTTCGGCGGTCGGAGGACTAATTTTCGCGCTAATCGTCGGCATTTGAGGTGGAGTGGTTCGATCTTTTAACGGCGAATTTCGTTCCGGACTGATCATCCTAAGTCGCTTCGATGATAGATGATCCTGTTCCATCGGTTTGATCTTGGGAAGGTGATTGAAAAGTAAGGGATTGATGAAGGATGAAGGGGGAGCCGTCGGTGCAAAAATCGGCGGGTATGCCGGAAAATGATTGGGAAAGAATGGCGGTAAATGGCAAGTTGGTGGCCTGTACATTGCAAAGGGATTGTTGATCGCCATTGGGTTGATTGGTGATGGCGGTGTAGTCATGGGGGGTGTTGGTGGTGTTGTATCACAGAATCGCTTGTGTTTCGATAAGGAGGTTACGGTAGAGAATGACTGTCCGCACTTCACGCACTTGATTTGCATTCGACAGTCGGCGTGCATCCGTTTATGACGACACAAATTGGAAAATTGTGTGTAGGCCTGCAAGTGAAATTTTGTAAGTCTTGCGATACCTCGTACTCAAAGTGTACCAACCTTAAAACAAACTTCGCATTGGAATGGTTTCACGGAAGAGTGTATGTGCGTGTGCTGTTTTAATCCAGACGATGTTGCAAAAGTCTTCCCGCATTCAGGACACGCATGGGAGCGCGCACCGACGTGATGTGTTCTTATATGCCTCTGTAGATTGCTAGGATCTGTGAAAACCTGTAAAGATTGGTTACTAAAAGCATTGACTTGTACGAGAATCGTTACCTTTGTACAATTTTCGCAGTGATATTTTCTTGTTTCGCCGTGTATCAGCGCCCGATGTTTCAGAAGGCAGGGTCTATGGCAATAGGACTTTGGACAAAGGTCGCAACGAAACTCGTCCTTTCTGTAGTTGTGCTTTACTATAAGATGTTCATCTAACCTGAAAAGAAGAGACCAACGTTAGGTAAAAAAAATATACTCGTAGAACTGTGAGGGGATGCAATTTCACAAATTACTAAAGATATAATTTTCTATTTCTCAATATCGTTCAAGTACACCCCGTTCAATTAAATACAAATACAAACATTGACGTTCAAAAAATCGGTTAACTACAATTAAACTCCCTTATCAACCTTTTAACAAGTTCTCTTTAACACTTTCCCTCGTTAAGTGGATTATTCTTTCTTCATTATTTCTCATGTGTATAGTTTCATAGGTATGTTCACTTATTGTCCACTTCTCTTGACTGTTAATTGAAAATTTGTGTTCTCTTTGAACTCGTTGGAGAGTTTCGTGTGACGTCGATTTCCCTCTCGTTTGGGATTCACGCTCTCTACGAGACACTAAGCAGGGAGCAGAACCCAGGAGAATTCCAAAAGGGGAATATTCCCTTTTTGGATCGAAGGAATTTCCCTGGGTTCTGCTCCCTGTTTAGTGTGTACACCTTGCATCCAAACTCACGGAAGTAACCGACGTGTGGTACTTTTCTAGTCCAAAGTTCATGTGGTGTTTTTCCTCATAAACTTCTTGATGGAGATCGATTCCCGGTATAGTTGGCCGTGTTGATGGCTTTGTCCCAGAACCATTGAGGCAATCCAGACTTGATCAACATGCATCGCGTTATCCCAACGAGGGTACGATTTCTTCTGTTGTGGTGTGTGTCGGGGTTAATCTCCTCTCAATTCCGCTTGTTGTCAAATACTCATCAAAGATCTTATTCATGCATTCCTTTCCGTTATCGGATTATAAGTACTTGATCTTCTTCCCAGTCTGATTCTTGACCTGAACTTGGTAAATATGGAACGTCACTTTTATTCTTCAGCAGATTAGTCATACACCATCCAGAATACGCGTTGATGAATGCTACAAAATTCTTTGCTTTTCCATTTGGTTGATCCACAGACATCTAGTAGGAAATGGAGTTCTCGTAATTTTCCTTTGGATACAAACTTCGGATTCGAGACTCCTCCTGGCTGCATCTATGGTTACACGTAGTACGTCGGGTACATGGCTGGAATGGGGAAAATACTGCACTTTTTGATTGGAATATGCCACTTTCTGTGGTAATAGTCTCGAAAATCCGTGCAGGAAACCAAAATGGTGGCCGTCAAAATGGCGCCATTAGCCGCAATATATTTATTTGTATCTCTGCTCCTAATAGTCCGATTTTAATTTTCTTTTTTTTGATTGAAAGCTCTTGTGACGAGGAAACTTTTTTGCTATATAACATTTATCTCAAAAACTTAAGGATTTAGCACAATTTTAAAAAAGTGTTTTTTTTTACGAATTTCACAAGTAAGCTCTTAATTGTGCAATATCCCGGTTTTTTCGACAAAAAAGGCCATCGTTTAGAAATTCAATCGACACAACCCCAAAAATCCTTGTATCTACCCTGCAAGTTCGGAAAATTTCAATACGCCAGAGCTGGGATAGTTACCTACTTGTAAAATGGAACTACTATAGTTACAAGTTACAAGTTACTTTTTAGAAAGTATCTAAGTTACTTGTAAAAAGTTTCTTTTCATATAAAAGTATCTAAGTAAATTAAGTTGCTTTTAAAAAGTAACTTAGTCTCTTCTAAGTTACATTTTGTATAAATGATAAGGAAGTGAAAAGGCACAATTTCTTTATTCTCAAAAATACAAAATATCAGAATATTTCTATAGTAAAAATGCCACTTGCACTTCAATATAATATTCTAGAATATAAGAATATGCTGAACAGCACTCAATATAAAAGAGTTTCTTCTTTCAGGTAACATGTGATATCCAGTCAGTAGTCACTCAACTCACTAGTCATGTGCCACGTAACTACGTTTTGTAACTCAAGTTACTTTTTGTAGCTAAAGTTACTTTTTGTAACTATAGTTTCTTTCCTAAAGTAACAGTTACAAGTTACTTCGTAAAAGTAACTAGTTCCAAGATACTTTTAAGTTATTTAAAAAAAGAGCTAGTTACAAGTAACTAAGATACATTTAAGTAACTTAGATACTTTCAAGGAACTTAAATACTAATTACTCCCAGCTCTGCAATGCGCCATGTTTTTTTTTTGAAAAAATGCGCAATATTTGTTTCATCAGGCACGAGATCAAGAATTATGAAAATTGAAAGGAAAAGCCTCGTCAATTTTTTTCTCTGAAAAACAGAAAATACACTCTGCTTTTAAAGTGATTAAAGAAACACTCAGTATATCAACTTTGACTCTTACTCTCGCTCTTACTTATCCTATTTTATTTAACTAGTTGGTTTAAGCTACGACGAATGTGAAATTTGGAGTGCTTATTTATCAGAACATGGGTTTTTTCGAGGGTTTCCTCTCGGATTTTATTTAAGAATATTAACGGAATATTATGATTTCCAAGTTTTAGATACCTATTCGTATAAGTTGAATCATTTTTATTATACAGGGAATCCACCTTCTGTAAGCGGACGATAGAGCCTCAATGGTTGAGATTAATGGCAACGGTTTGTTGGTACGAGAAGCCTGAGGGGAAGCCTAAAACGTATTTTTAGGTATATAGGGTGTTCTCGAGGGCAGCCTATACATTTTGATATTTTTTATAGGTATCCCTGGGTATCCCTTAACAAAAGAATTATTTTTGTAGGTCTTATCGGTTTTTTTTTCGTAATGCTAACCGCGAGGCTAACCGTTTTCCGGATATGCTTTTTATACAGGGTGAAAATTTTATCTTCAAAACATTTTTTAAGGAAGCTTTTTATGACATCCATAATTATAAAAAGTTTGCTACCAATCCACGTACATTCAATTTGGGGTCAGTAGCATACTTCTGCACAGTCAAAGGGGGCATACTGTTTTTAAATAGCAACCACTATTTTCTTGACGTAGTGAATTATTTGTCGATACAAATTGATACAATAAAACTCGTTTTTCAAATAATTGAATTTTAATATTTCTTTAGCTAATCGACTTCGAATCGTATAGACCGATTCATCATCAGACCTTAAGAGTCAGAATATTGTGCTGAATAATACAAATCCTTACATATTAACATTTGACGTGGACAAGTTACACATAAAAATCGGATTGAGCTTACTTGTGATTCAAATTCGTAAAAAAACACTTTTTTCAATTTGTGCTAAATCCTTCAGTTTTAGAGATAAATGTTATATAGCAAAAAAGTTTCCTTGTCACAAGAGCTTTCAATCAAGAAAAAGAAAATTAAAATCTGACTATTAGGAGCAGAGATAAAAAAATATATATTGCGGCTAATAGTGCCATTTTGACGGCCACCATTTTGGTTTCCTGCACGGATTTTCGAGTGGCTCCCTATCTCAAAAGTTGCCTTTTGGTATTAACTATTACCACAGAAAGTGGCATATTCCAATCAAAAAGTGCAGTTTTTTTTGGGGTACCCAACGTACTAACGCTTTGATGGTGCTTTTTCTGGAACCTGCTTGGAGATCCTTGCAGTTTAGATGGCACAGTCTTCGGTGCCATATTTCATTCAGTCTCGATTCTACCGTTGTCACTCCTAGTACTGAATTGCATGCTTTCTTGGATTATGTACAGCCGTTGAACCTCTTCGCCTGGAGAATCAACTTCTTCTCCTCCAAAGGCTTCTGGTATTACTACTTCAGAATACATCGTTGCAGTTTCCACGTTACCTTGGTTGAGTTGTCTTTCTTTTCTTTCTGTTATCAAAATTTGGCCATGTGTCCTTTCTGTTCTTTCACTTGTAAGGAAATTCCTTCTTTCCTTTTTCCCGACGACTTTTTTGTCAAAACTCTTCTTCGCGAACATGCTATTTTGAATTCTTATTTCTGTATGGCCCTTCCTTGAATATTGACATTCAGTAATATTGATTCTCAGTTCCTCGACGCCGAGCAGTGTGTCCTGAGACTCCACCGTGGTGCAAAATACTTCGAAACTTGGTAAGAGACTCAGTGAAACGAAATATACTGATCCTTTAGTCTCGTTACTGCTAACTTTCTGATCACCTCTGATAATCATTGATTTTCTTAGTGGTCTCCGCGTCAAATGAATTTTCTGCAGTTTCTACCACATTTCTTTCGATATCTGACAACCGTTATCAAGACGCATTGAGAAATTTGACCCTTTCTTAACCAGGTTTTTCTATCAACCATTGATGTTGGCGTCGGATTTCCATTTTATCGGATTTGTAGTTTTGGCTTCACTTTTTCACCTGATGTGTACGCCCATAGGTCATTCACGTTTAAAATCGCCTTCATTTGACGACACAATGAACGCTAATTTTCATGCCCCAATTTACTTGCACAAATTGGCTTCAACAAGTCAATTTGCGCGAATTGCATGAGCATCAAAACGCACCATTAGCTGGTCCATACGATGACATTTTTCTTTAACTCGACAAATTTTCACACGCACGTTCGTCCAGTTGCACTTAGTTTAATGTCCTCCACAATGTTCTTGGCCCATAACCTCTTCTTGAATCTTGCAGTAATCCAGTGTATGATTAAATATACACGACACAGTGAAAGAACACATTTAATTAAATACAAACAGAAGATTGACGTTCAAAAGTTCAGTTTATTTTATTTTATTTTTATTTATTTTATTTATTACCTATCCCTCTCTTGTTCTGAGCCCTCAACAGATTTGTGCCCTATTACAGGGTGACCCGCACAATGCTTACTATTAACTAGACCAAAATCCATTTTAACAAATTCAACATTTCGATTTTGAGATTTCAAAGGATCTTTACGTTTCCCAGGTCCGCCGGTTCTAGGAGATCAAAAAAGTGCTTATTAAAATATGGCTGTTATGTGTGTATGTATGAGTCTGTGCGTGCGGCATCATTCTCGTAAACAAGGTTCAGGCGAAACTACCCGATGGAATTTGGTTAAAATTTGAAATAGATGTTCCCTTAAATGGTTTCGAGAGTTGAAAAGCCTTTGAAAACCATTCGAGAATAGCAAATGCTTTTTTGGAAATAAAATCGATACCTATTTATTGAATGAGGTATAATTTTGTAAGGAGCAGACGATTTGGCTAAAATTTTGTACCAATGTTCCAGAGTCAGAGTTGTGCGTTATTTAAAAAAAACTAAAAACCTTTAGCGAAAAGAGTTTTTTTTTTGTTTTCACGTTATCTGTCAATCGAAATTGTGGTAGTTCACGTTTACATTGCGACATCTCAAATTGTTTGCATTATTTTATCGCGTTTTTCTAAATTAGCCTATAAAAATCCCTTACAATCATCGAGTTTACCAAGAAAGAGTAAGCAACTTTTTTCTTATTCGTTATAGTCAACGGAAAGGGATAATGGGGGTCCACTTATACCAGTCGCAACAGTAAGAGAGGTGAATGATTGCTTTAGAACGAACTAAAAGGCGCCATAAGCCAAGAAATCGCCAACCTGTCTTCTGCAATGTTAGAGAAGGTGTTCCACAGCTTCAATTCAAGACTGGAAGAATGCTTGTTCAAAGAAGGACTTCATTTAAAGGGTTTTATTTTAAAAGCATCAGACCTTTTTGCCCTACCCTGTATTTGTGTAGATATAGGCAGTTTACGTTTGTATTTTAGAACATCTTACGTTTCAAATCCTTTGGCAAGTTCTAAAAGAGAAATACGTATTTAGTGGGTCCAGAAGTTCCTTAAGAAAAGTTGTTGCCAATATTGGTATAATCTAAGAAAAGGTTTAAGGAAAAAGCCAACGTATTTCATTCCTCCGACACCCCGAGGAATACCGTAGGCGGGCTGCTCAGGGTTTTCTGACCCTCTTCGGCCAGAGAACGGGAATGTAAGGATGGATCAAGTTAAAGATGGGAACGGAAGTTAGGGTACTGCTCCAGAATTCGACTCGTCGATATCAACATAATGCCAGCATTGTGCGAAGCTACGTACGTCTGCGGAAAACCCTCTGACAAAATCCCAGACAGAGCAGTCGGCAGCGGGAATCGAACCCACAACCTCCCGAATAGCAATCAGGAACGCAACCACTGCACCACCGGCTTCGATGAAAATGTTTAATGGAGTTACCCAACATTGCACTATCTTTTTCAAATGCCTCTGTAAAAAATATGCAATCTGGGAGTGGACGCCAATGTGTCATTTTGGAGGAAACTTGGGTATTTGAAAATGGAACAATATGTGTCATGGCAAGACGATGGAAAATCCTACTATACTATACTATACGTATATGAAAATTCATAGGCTCTCCCCTATTTGTCACGAAATTTACAGATCTATTTCGGAATCTGCAGACCTTTTAGGAAACTTTCAGTTCTTCGTAGAAATAACCGGTTTCCCAGCCACAATTTACTTCGTACTTCCATCATCCTGGCAATTAAAACCCTGATGCGATTGGTAGTGAAGTGTAAAATACATATAAAATTGTAACTAGAAAATACCTTGAGGCAATATTCAAAATGTAAAATGATGTTTATACAATTATCTAAAATGCAAAACTAAAAATTTCTTCATGCTGAAAGTTTCCTTAGATAATTTTCAGAGAATCGAGACGCTTTTGCACATTTTTCGCAGATGGAGTCAAAACTTTGATTTCCAGAAACTTATGTTTGGGCATTGTTCCGATAAACTGCTTAGGAGGGGATGGAAACTTTAGTTGAGACATCCAAAATAAACCCATACTTCGATACCAATATTGACCCAGAACTTAATTCCAATAAATAATAAAGTAATGAGTCTCTACATTAACAAAAACCGACAAGTATGTCGCATTTATTCATTAGAGTAAAAAGAAAAGTGTCTTCGGTTATTGATGAAATATAGCGTGACATATATTAGTTTTTATTTTGTTTCCGTATATGATGAGAACTAAATCATCTGCTTTGGCCGTAGTTTTTGATCGTGGCGTGAAATGTATAAATTATTTATTAATTGATTTCAGTGTAATGTAGGCACTAAACTTCTCCATTGTTTTATTGATAATAAGTGGAATCGCGTGAATGCAAATCGTTTTACGGACAGCAATTTCCAGTGACATCGCGCGCACACAAACGCTATCTAAAATTCTAATAATTTGTTTATTAAATTTTAATTGATTTGTACCTAGCCGTAATTGATTGCGTAATTTTTCCTTTGACAACGCGTGCATTAATAATAAATCCGCATTCTTGTCTGCTTAGGGCATCATCACGCACGCATTCACCACAAGAAAATTACGAAAATATGCCGTTACGATTAAATGTTTAGATAAGCGCAATTGCGAACTACTCATAACAATAATCATGCTACTTACTTATCTAAATCGCTGAAGGGCTGATCGCAAACGGAGCAACGTGTTTCGGTGTCGTCTTCGGATTCATCTTCGCGTTCGTTATCTGCAGTACCGCTATGCTGGGATCCTAAACACAGAAAAAGTCCCAAGCTTAGTCGCCGAAACGCACAGATTTCAAAAAGAACAATATCGTCACTGACACAAATTGCACCTTCACCTGCCACCCCACGGAAGGGTCAGAGTTGAAATCTTTCCGCCTTGTTTTATATGTGTAATGTAATAATATACGGGGCGCATACCTCAATGTAGGGTGGTACGTCAAACACATTCAATAGTGGGTGTTGGATTAAAAAAACACACGTGGTGGGGGATGTTTATGATTCCCATTATATTTGTAACGATTTCTGAAACTTTTGCGGTCTTCTGATTGTTCTAACGTTTTAATTGTAAGTTACAATGCGTTTTTAGGGGATGTGATTCTGGAGATCCAATTGAAATATTGGTACAAGTTACGAGTACTTAAACCATTATCAGATCAGGCCAAAGTAAATCATTTATTTCGTACAGACGTTTAAAAATATATAATAATCGTCCATTTAAGATTGGATATCTGCAGAAAAATTATTTTTTCTAAATCGTCCAGGCTTCTAACGAAATTTAGGGTGTTTAAAGATATCTAAGTCAAACTATAAGCGTAATTAAAGTTTTTTCTTCTAAATTTAAAGTGCAATTTTAACGTTTTTCTCGTTTTTCAATTACAGTAGCACAGTAGCATATGTTCTGATTTTCAAATTAATACAAAGAAGTTTCATAAGACACCTTAGATTCGGTTGCAACTTCAGGAAATGCCCGATTCCAAAACCACCATTTTAGCAAAGGTTCCCAAATAAGATCGTAACGCAATAATTTTGAACTATTAAACAGCTTTAGCATATTTTATATTTATATTTCTTACAATTTTACAAGCTATTTGAATGATGAAAATTTGTTGACTATGGAGGGTACAGGCCCAAAAAGTACCCACGAATTGCCGCATATGGCAAGAATTTTGTTGGGATCGGAAATCTAAAATCTGGTAGACCTCTTGAGACAAGAACACAAGAAACAATAAAGCAAACGAGCTCCTGGGTATGGCTCGGCTTGGCATTACGTATTATATGGCTAATGGTATGCTCATTTTGAATTTCATTCAATTCGGTTCATTTATTTATTTATTTTATTATTACGGACGGACAGACGGACAGACATCGGAAAATTATAAACTCGCTAGGAGCTCGTTAATAAAGAGAAATGAAAAGAGCGCAGAATTAAAGCTTCAGCTATTGCAAGGAGAGAGGTTCGGGTATGAACAAAGTGTCTAGAGAGATTGATTCCCAGCCTCCTTGCACCAGAACAGAAGCTTGTCAGATAAGAAATTTACCCGGAAAATTTGGATGCGTTCAAACAAAATATATCGATAGTTTTAGCGCATTTCTTATTCTCAAAAAGAAGCTTATTGTTTCACTAACTGTCGGCTGTTCAGGCGCCTTTTATAAATCGATCCAGATATCGGCAACGGAATATCGTGAAACTTTCCGGTTTTCGGCATTATATTCGTACTATCGTGTTACTCCTGCATGGCTTAGTCTGAAAGGAGAGAGCCATTCCGGAAGTTGATAATTTCTTTTAAATGTGATGAATGCCATCGCAGTCAAACCAAATTTTGCAAATTGAAAAAATTGAATTAAAGTTTGCTGTACACTTTGGAGCATATTTGGAGCACGAAGATCTGTTTAAGCACATATGAAACATCGTTTGAAGTAGTTCCAATTTATGTCGATGATTTTGGCATTTCTCTCTCTTAATCGAAGGGTGGTCAGGAGCAATGAACTTAACTCCGCTGTGATGTAAAAGTTCTTTGAACTCAGTGGAAGCGATCTGAGTGCCATTATCTGAGACAACAATCTGGGGAACTGCATAGATTGCAAACAACTCATCAATAATTGTTATTGTCGCAGATACCGTAGTAATATTCATAATTTTGACTTCGAACCACTTGCTTGTAGACGTGGGAAATGATGAGTAACGACCTCAACCACGGTGGAGCTACCGGGTCGCGACAGCCAAGATCGGAATGGTATATTAAGCTTTGCTCTGCTTCCAATAAACGAAGAATTTTTCCTAGATGAGGGTCTATTGGGTGAACGATAAAGTGATAAAATTCGTTTAATTCTTCGTCTCCTTCCCAGGTCCAGGAAGTTAGCCACTGATATGAAGCACAAATGACATCACCATGCAAAGTCCTTGGTGCTTCATACCATAAACTGACCACACATACGGTTCAGGAGATATAAAGCCTCAAAGTTAGAGACGGGAAGTCAGCTACAGCTTTTTTTATTAATGAAGCACAAATCTCGTGTTCTAGCAAAAGTCTAAGTGCTTCGCTTGTATTCGTTTATGCTTCACACAGGAACCCACATATGGTTCGGTAGATATAGCCTCATAAAGTCAGATACTAGAAGTTAGCCGCAGCATTTCTTGTTATTGAAGTACAAATGTCGTGATAGAGAAGGGTCCTTAGTGCTTCGCTAATATTCATTTGTGCTCCACACTGGAACCCAGCCACGGGAGGTATGTAACCTCAAAGTCAGAGGCCGAAATTTAGCCACTAAAAAAAGCTGTGGTTAATTGCCAGTTGCTACCGAACCGTAGGTGTGACTGGGTTCCAGTGTGAAGCACAAATGAATACTAGCGAAGCACTAAGGATTCTGCCAGATCGTGGCATATGTGCTTCATTAACAAAAAAAAAAGCTGTGGCTAACTTCCGGCCCCTAACTTTGAAGCTGAACCGTAGGTGTGGCCAGTTTCTGGTGTGAAGCACAATGAAGCACTAACGAAGCACTAAGGATGCGTGATGTCATTTGTGCTTCATATCGGTGACTAACTTCCTGGACCTCTGATGTCAGTGAACAGTGTGAAATGTCGTGCATATAAATAGACGAACAATTTATGTAGCGCCTATGGCCATGCGTAAGCGATTCAGAGTTCTCGTCCGGCCCTGAGTGGGTGTGCCAACGCAACACCAAGGCCCATCTTGCTAGAGTCTGTTGCTAAGATCAGTGGAAGTGATCGGTCATAGGATATGAGAACCTGGAGCGAGATTAAAACTTTTTTTATGCCTTCATACGCCTCCTCCGCCTACGGTGAACTGTAGTAAGTACCCTTGCCCAAGAACAGTTGCCAATCTTCTAGTGACGATGGTTTGGGTGCATGAATATGTTCTTCTTACTTGTGAATACCTTCAGCATGGATTTTGTGTTTAAGAAACTCTATTTAAGTAGCCGCGTAAAACGCATTTCTCCTGGTTAAATCGAAGACCGGGAGATTTCATTTGTTCCAAGGTCAAATCGACGATTTCCAGAAGTCTTGCGAAATTTTCTTTTCATTAGGGAGTCCTTGAAGTATTCGTCGCTGCCATGTTGCTGGAATATTTGCCGCGCCGTAGACTGCACGCGTGGGCCGAATCAATCTATGGGTCGGAGTATTGAGTTTCAGTGCTTCAGCAAACTCTTCACCAACTGTGAGGTGTGAACAGGCGTCTGTGATGTCCAAGTGGCAGAAAAATTTGGCTCCTCCCATCTAGTTAAAAATGTGCTCAGAATTGGCCATTGGATGTTCGTCGATAATCATGCGAAAATTAAGTGTGGGTTTGTAATTGCGGTAATTCTAAGTTTATCCATTTTTCTTGGTGACCACATGTGTAGATGACGCCCGCCTTCTAGTTACATCCCGATGCGATTTTTGATTCAATTTCCGGAACTGCTCCGGTTCAGGAAAAAGTGCAGAGAAGTTCATTTCAGAGCCAAGTGTATGATCCACTCTCAGCCCAAAAGAATATGAAAATCACCCTCGATAACATAAAGGTTAAGTCTTCGCGTTTTTTTTGCCTGGATCGCATTGACCATCATGTTTGAAAAAGTCCCTAGAAACTCGGGGGAAAGGTCTATTGTGCCTTCGTGTCATGTACTGTTTGAAATCCCACTTCTGACACCACTTTTAAATTTTTAAACTTTGGTTTTAAATCAATTATTTAACTTCTTAAATTCAGTCACAATCATAATTGCCAAATAGGTATAAAAATTAACAACCAATCATTTTCCTTTGTTTATATCATTTTTCATTTTTCCTTTCCTTTAACTCCTTGTCTTTTCTATTTTTAACACCCATTGTTTGAGTTAATACTGTATTCTGGAACGCTGACCATCTTTTACTTTATATTTAATTTTCAATTTATTTTTTTGGGTTAAGTGGAACACTTTTCCTTTGGGCATTTAGATATAGCGTTTTTTTCTGTATGAACTGATTTTTAAGTATCCCTTTCAGCACTAGGTACTGGTAACTATTATTGGGTGGTTAAGATGGGGGAAGTCCTAGTCCAGTATAGGCATAAAGGTGGTAAGCCAAATTTAAAGAACATTCTTTGATAAATTTAATATATTTCGGTTGACGTTGCAACCTTCATCAGAAAATATATTATATTGGTCCGAAACTGATGATCACATTAATTATATTAAATTTATGAAACATAGATCTATTATTAAACAGTTGACTAGGATGTTTACATATTCCAAAACACAAAACAAGCCAAAAAGGCAAAAATTACGACATTAAATCCATGCGGCCAACAAATGTTAAGTTATTTTCTTTTGTAAAAGACCAATCGGACCAATATAATAAATTTTCTGATGAAATATATTAAATTTATCAAAGAATGGTCTTTAAATTTAACTTACCACCTTTATGCCTACTGGACTAGGACTTCCCCCATCTTAACCACGAATAACTGTTGATTTTTTTCGTATAGTAATCTATTTTTCTTTGCCATCAGTTGTTCATTTGTAAAATGCTCAAATAAAGACAATATTATTTTTATTAACTACACCAACTACTTGAAATTCAGATGTAAAAAGAGCGAAATATTATCTTAACAAACACAAGAAGAGAATCGCGATATACTTTACCGCAAAAACAGAAATTTACCCAATTTAGCACTCGAACTGTGAATTTTTGTGTACCTACTTCCAAATTTGAAAAAGAAAATGGACTCATAGAACCACTTTTTAAATTAGTGTTTAAGGTAGACCGTAGATGGACAGAATTTTCACCATCTGTGCGTTCACAAGTGAATCCGGAATATCGAATATGAGGCAATCGACAAAACTGCATTTATATGAATCGATGAAACGGAAGAATCAAAATCTGTTTTCAATAAACGTAATGTTTCCACCCCCTTCAATGATAAATCAGTAGACTGCGTGTACGATAGCAATTATTTGATTTACACAAACAGCTCGACCGGAAGACGTTGACCATATCCTGCACCTGGTCGTGAACTTTTTGACTCGATTTGACACGTAAATTGGCCGAAATCCACTTTAAATACAGGAAGATTTAAATTAGTGGCGAATATACCGGTTGCACGGAAGGCTATATGCCTTTTGACTTTTACGTTTCAATTTCTCCGCATAAAAGAGTAGTTTCTAACAAACGGGCATGAAAAAAGATTAAAAATTTGACGCACACGCCTCATACATGTGTATTTTAGGGTTAGAACTATTAACAACAAAAGATGAATATGTCACAGGGCTACTAAACAACCCCCAAACATATACGAATGCGAAAGGGTAAAACGTCATCAACGAACCCTATAATAAATCTGATTAATTCCAGCTGTGCATTTTGCAAACATTTTAAACTGATATCGGCCCTTAAAAACTCATGAACGTAAAACAAGATACGGCTAAGTGGAGGGGTCGAAGATTATTTTTGATAACGCTGCAGCTTATTTCACTTCATTTAAAGCCGGATTTATTATGCAATTCAATTTTGACTAGACCGGATATAAAAAATTGCTTTCGTTCATCTGTTTCCTGGAGTGTATCAGAGAATTAACATGCATTTGTCAAAAGATATGAAACGATAGCTCACCGTACAGCCATATGGCACCAACGTCACCCTGCGCGATTTGGGAACCCTGAACCGTTTTCACGTAGGTGATAGGAAGAGACATGAAATTTGCTCCGAAAATTACGCGTTACGGCAGTTGCTTTCGATTCACCTGACGTTTGAGCTAACGGTCAGATTGCGTATTTTGATTAAATTATATACCCCGAAGCAGAATTACGGGATCGTAAGGGCACAAACAACGCAGCCATATACAATAGTCACGTGTCCCGGGTCGTGTCAGCGCCCACCCGGATTAGCACGGTGCCATTGTCGAAAAGGAACCCTTTCCGATGAAGTTGTCACTTAATATACAGAGCGTCAAATATTATTTATGGTTTCGTTGCAGTAATGTCTGAGAATAAAAGGCAGACAGATGGGTTAGGTTACGGATATATGTGGCAATTTTACCGAGATAACTAAACATTTGGGGTTTACTAAATTGTTTAATCTATGATTGATGGCATTAATAGTTTCGATGGTTTTTACTGAAAAAGTTCATGCTTCAAATAATTCGCAGGTGCAGCTTGCTTGCGTTCCAAGTTTTTCGAAACGGAACTACTGGCCCGGGGTTTTAAACATCCCATAAGGCACACATTTAAATTTTAACGAACGTAATTGAATTAAAAAGCGTGGGAACGTCGTAAAGCATAAAATTGTAACGAAAATCCTCAATTGGGTTGAAAGGGTGTGCGAATTTTCACCAACCCCTTGTCTTTAGGACTTTGTCATATTTACACTTGTTACTCTGAAATTCCTTTTAACATGTCTAATTTGTGGACACTTTTCTACACCTGACCTGACAAGTCTGAAGTGCCATCCACCCTTTTCGACACAAGCCTTTTGATAATTTAATTTGTCCTGGTTGATCTCGTTCAAAATTCGGAGCAAATGATTTTAATAAGGGGTAAATCCGCAGCCAGCGGATTCAATTTACCTGAAGATTTTATAAAAATTATTGTTGAATTGATTGAGACCAATAGTCAACTTGTTTTCTTGTTTCCTTGTTTATTCTTCGTGGCCTCCCTGCTAAGGATTTTAGAAATAATTAGAATAAATCTTTTGTTTGGAGAACCTGGGAAAACTGCGAAATCTTAAATAGCCTATGCACCATAGTAGTCTAAGTTCTAAATTTGACAAATACTAGATAGGAAGCCAATGTGAGCTTTTTCTATACGGTTTATATGTGTGATTCTCTCAAGTGCCAATCTGGGTACGGAGAGAGGCTTGAAAAAGTGATCTGATGTAATAAAAGACATTCATTTCCTTCGTGGCGATCGTATAAACGGTAAGTAACAATAATAAAGTTTATTGTGTCAATAAATGATCGACAGAAAAAGGTGGAACACGGTAGGTGATGAAGACTATTAAAATTCGCAAATAAAATGTTATTTTATGCCCTACCCGAGGTATTTGCGCTAAGAAAAAAGGAACGACAAATAATTTATTGCGGATGGTTTCATAACGAAATTCCGGTGTTTACTGAACCGATGGACGGGTTGTGTGTTATGTGCAGATAGTAAATTCTTGTAACAATTCATAGATCACTGGATCTTGTCAATGGATCACGACATTCAACGGTTTACTTGTGTACCCCATTTCCGGCGGTTGTCGGATGAATTAATTACAGGTGCAATCGGACAGTTTTATAAAGTTACGTACCCGTTTCCCTACTGGCGAAATCGTCGATCGACGCGTTCGCGTCGCCGAACATATCCTGAAGATCTAAAGGTTCTTTGGATCCTAGGATTAGTTCGTGGCCGGCCGGTATGTCCACGCACGTTTCATACCATAACTGGAAATGGATTTTCTGGTTTTCTGAAAATTTTCAGCTCATTCGCACTCACCTGACCGCTCTGCAAGAAGTGGCGTAAATTCGAGTGGTGTTTCTTTGGCGAGCTGTTGATTAGTTTTAACCAATTAAGGGGCTCCAACGATCCGTCCAACCATCCTCTGATTCCCGAACCGGCTAACACCTAGAAGTGAAACAGACATTATAGGTCAGTTTTTGAACATTCTGATATTGTTGAGATACAAAACAAATTCATCAGGTGGTTTTACATCCCATAGATGAACTATACATTTCGAATTTTTCAATGTGGAAACTAAATTTTCTTAAACAAGGGTAGCTAATCCTCCAACTATAAAGACACTGCATATAGCAACACATTCTTTCAAAATAAACCGATGCAACGGAATATAGAAGGATCCTCAGTATTACCATCACTTATTAACGACTATTTATCTCAACCTTGCCACTTTACGGACAGAAGGATGGACATTGAATGGCCCAAAACCATTAAGCAAGTATTCCGAACGATTTTTGATTGTTACCTGTGAAAATTTACAAGTTGTGCCAAAAATCAAATGATATTGTAACGAATATTCCAGAAATCCCGATAGACATCGAGGCGCCATGAAAGATGAGTCATTGGTGATAAAATATCGAAGGCCAATGTGACGCAATCTTTTCGAGAAATATGATGTGTTTGTTCTAGAATATTCTAAAAAGAATGTTGTTTGCTATACTCGTATAAGCAAATGCAATTCTGTACCTGAGAGCCAAACTGTATTAACTCCATTTTTTTCAAATCGGTATTAAGTTCTCTTCCTACTAAACGAGACTCGCTTTTTCACATGGAATATAGTATTAAGTCCTATATAATATACTTTTGAAGTTGGCCAAAGTTAAACGGTATTATATCAATAACCTTTTCCGAGCAAAATAGTATTATGGAGTTAATATTGTTAAAGAAACTTACATGTGTGGACATAGTACAGTTTTCAGTGCGTTGATGTTGTGTAGAAGTGCACGTGTGTTTATTACTCTGCGAAAAAATGGCAAATAAGTCAAGAAAAATATTGGAAGTCGCTTTTTTACACCGTGCAATCATTAAAAATAATAAATAAATAATTTCAGAATACATTAGTATTTTATTGTCCATATTAACTCCATTTTCATTTTTCAAAAAAGTATTTAATACAGTTTGTAATTCGAAGTATTAGAGCCAAATGGTATTAATTCCATTTAATTGACTTTTTAATCACTTTTTTGGTAAAAATAATGACAATTTTTGAAAAATAGAAAAGGGGAAATTTAAGGACATCCACATTTTATTTTTGAGTTTAATTTCTTTTTTAATAGTTATTAAATAAATATTTTGTATTAATTTTAATGTCAATCACACAAACTGAATGACATTAAATGGTTAAATATATCTAATTTATCATTTGTAACAAAACTCCTGGGGTCCATGATAGAATAAAATTTAGAACTAATATTCCTAATTTAAATACAAGAAGTAGAATGTTCATCTCAATCCCAATTCATAAAACAGCTTTATTTAAAAGAAGATATATAACTCACTCTCATCTCATATAAAAACGTCTACGATGAAAAATTTTAAAAAATATATACGGAAGTCACTGCTAGAAAAACAACATAGGTCTCTCTTAGCCCTTTTCTGCTTTTTAGTTTTAATTTCATGCACATAAGTGATATCGGTCATTGGCTGACTAGGAACTTCGATTAAATAAACAAGAGTTAAGTGGAAGAACAGATGGTAGAAGTACCAATCTGAACTTCGCCCTTTTGAACTTAACGGTGAACTTGATCTATGTTTTTTTTACTGTACTTGCTTTCAATAAACGGATATTATTATTATTACAAATTACGAGTGATAAATTGTAATTATACCTACTGTTGTAAATTAATCGACCGACGTACTATATAGCTTTTTCTCCTGTTGAGCCAGCTTCATGAAAATCAATAGCGTTCTACCTTACCGTTCATAGTGCCCGCACACCCAATTTAAACACGATCGGACACATTTAAAAAGAGTTATAGCGCACACGGGCGGACGGACGGACAGAAATTAAGAGCTATAAAACGTATAACTAAAAGTTATAGCGAACACAGACGAACAACCATAAAAAAACTATAAAGGCTCTGAGGAAATTTCGAAAAATTTGTATGCTTCAAAACCGCTTACTTTGTGTAGGTAGTAGGTATTACCCCAAAAATTATCCCATGTTAGCTGCTAAAGGGGTTTACTCTAAATTCTCAAAGGTCCCTCTTTTTTTCACAGTATAACAAGGAACTAACGAACTAGTTCTGATTTACATAGGTTTTTGGGTATGGTATCCAGAGATAAGGCACCCCTAAAAAGCGGTTCATAAAAAACTGTTTTTATGATTTGTGGCATACCCACCCAACTTGTTTACTTGTTTGTAAAATACGGGGTGTTTCAGAAATACCTTTATTCTACTAGTGTTAGGTCTGTTAATGTTGTCATTAGCACTACTTCATTTACGCCATTAGAAATGTATTTTTGCAAACTAGAACGTAGCAAACTTTCAAAGAACAAAACAACAAAGAAAGCAAGACAGATTCAGGGATGGGCAAGTAGATAATTCCACTGTGGGAATTTACGTATCAAAACGCTTTTTACATGCCAAAATCTACATGTATAATTTTGAACATTGTACTCTCAGGCCTACCAGGTTGCTTGGCTAGCACTGGGACTTTCATTCGTCGAACAGATAGCAGTAAGTTTTCAACCCAGGATAGCCACTCTGATCTTGGGCCATCTTGAATCGGATCTCGACCACATCATCGAAATTGTTTCGACCAGATTCGTTAAAAGTCGGGTTATTCAAATTGTTTCATTATATCTGTTCTTGAGCGCTCGGAAATTCTTTTATTTTTAGCGCATTTTTTAAGAATTAAAAAGAATGTGCTATTGTTTGCGTTTTGTCCGTCCGCCCGGCCGTCCGGACCCACTTCTGCCGTTTCGAACTACTTCTAGGGGAATGGGGGGTGGAACTAGTTTTTTCCTTCATGGCACTCTAATGAAAGATCTCAACGAAAGGAATTAATTTCTACCGACCATAGCTCTCTCCCCGACCTCTATCGTGATCGTGTGGGTTCTCACAAAGGGCGATTGCGACGTCAGCAAGAAATATATCCATTGGTGATCTACATGCAGATTCTTCGAATTCTTCCGTTTCATTCCAAGTTCCATATTTAGCTTTTTTGGATTTTTCAAACCACCTTTCGAATACTTCGGTTGCTATTTTATGAGGGTAACTGAGGGTTATTACGTTTCTTTGCACGATTCCTCTTGGTTTCTTTGGATTTTTATTACTCTCTTCGAGTGGTTACCTATCTTCCGATGTGTCAGATGCTTTAGACTTTATCAGTTTTATGCGGAATCTTTCATTTCTTCTTAAAATTTCTCACATTCATCAAATTCTTCAGGTTTTTTATTAATCTAACGTTTCATTCAGACACTCTTGAATGCTTCTTGTGCTGCAGATTTTTCTGGTTTTTTCTATTTTTATAAATTTTAGAAATGGTCTTAGCGTCTTCGAATTGATGGCTCCATTGCGGTTTCCGGTGGTCACACCTCGATTGCTATACATTTTCTATCTTTGATTTCTTTAAATTTTTTCGGAAATTCCAATTTTCTTGATTCTTCAAATTCTTTCAATTCTTTGGGTTCTTTATATTTTTCAGATCATTTTTGCTACAATTCTTTTGGTTCTTCAATATCTGCATATCCATTCGCATTATCATATTATCAAAACGAGAAATAGAAACCTTAACGCTGCCATAATTGTTTGTCAAAGGAAGTTCAGAATTCTGTTCTTGACTAATCCGCCGCTATCTCTCACCAACGTGTCAATTTGCCTTAAGGATAGATAATGTAATTTTGAAACAATAATAGTACATTATATATCAAGGTAGAGAAGTCCACTATTATTGCCTGAGCACCAAGATTACATCTCGAGGCGCTTGCGCCGAGGGGTGTAAGGTGCGAAGGCAATAATAGACTTCTCTACCGTGGTATATATACTATTTTTTTCACTACTAGCACTTGAAATCCTCTAAATTAACATATTATATTGATAAGAGAGTTAACGGTTGGACAGAATTGTTTGTTTCTTAATTTAACATGTCAATCAAGTACGTGGAAGTACAAGTCAAACAGGCCGTATTTTGTTCTGTCATTGAGATTTTTCAAAGAGTAATTTCGTTCGAATTTTTTCAAAATGTGATAATTTTAGGTATGTAATTTCTCTGGAAATTGCGAATGGTGGCAATTATTCGTTTTAGAGAACTTATCTAAACGTTCATTTAGCGAAATTTCGGGTTGTGTTTTCTAAAAGTGACAGCGTGACAGTTCTCATTATTGACTACTAGTTAATAATGTCCACAGTATTAACCACTTTGAACAAATGCCGAGAAAGCCTACTTTACAAGTGGAAAAAAGGTTAATAATCATGTCATCAGACGCTAGTAGTGAAAAAAATAATTAAATGTATTAAATAATAAATAGGCAATGAGGTAGAAATTTCACAGTTTTCTTGGATTTAGGAATTTGGAATTAAATGATGTTTATGAATAAATAACTAAATTAGATATATATTCGTACAAATATACTTCCGAGTACTTTTTCAATTACTTAAACAACTGTAAATAACGTACTATACGACCATTTAATTCATTTATCAATCTAACACGTGAACTTTGTCGAACGACGATAATCCCTAAAAGCAACGCACATGGAACGTATATTATATAGAATGAATCCAATTCACAGCAATTAAACTTTGGCCGCTATACCATGGGGTAAAACAAGGGGGCTCGCGCGCGGTCGTCAAGAGGTGCCCTAATTGTCGGAAGCAGCCGCCCTTAAACCCCTTAATGGTTTGATCCTTAATCGCGTCATTATATGCTTCTAAAGACTGCGACGAAGGAAGAAGCACAATTTATATGAAAAAAGAACGCGCGCGCGAAAGGGAAGTGATAATTGATAAGGCTCGCGAATTAAGTTTTTTGCGGTTGTGCTCTGATGGTTTCGCTTTACTAAGATTTCGTGTGAAATGTCCTTTACGCCTAATAAATGCCACAGTGGAACCTTGTAGCTAGGAGAGAAGGACAAAGCGCGCATTCGATATGTACATAGAAATT